AGAACTCTGTTCCTGAAATCTTCCTTGGTAAATGTTGAAACTTCTTAAACTACCTTGCATAGCTCTTAACATTTTTAAGTACTTTCCATTTATCTTTTTTTCTAGGTTCAATCTTCCAGCTGACTTTTCAGCTACTTAGTCAATTTACTAACCTTTTTGTAATAATTAAGATTATTTCCAAGAACTTTAAATACATAGTTAATAATGCTTTGTTCTTATTTCATATTAGAGGCTCGATGCACGAAATTCATGCAAGAGTAGGCCTTCCTTCCTTTGGCTGCCGGCACCAGTTTCCCTCTGGCACCCGGGACCCGGGCTTACCTCGCAGCCCTGGCTTCATCCGGAAGACGTCCGGTCTAATTATTTATATTATGCTTTTATTATTATAGATTTTTAATGTCTCTTATTAACTCTGTTAAGATTGACTTCTTTCTTTCAAGTGTTGTTTCCTTTAAATATTTGGTAATGTAGGTTTATATGCTTATCTCTGTATTTGAGATTAGACTGATTGAAGGCTGTTTCGCAGTTACCACAGCCTAGTTTCCTTATCTGTTAATGTGGCTAATAATAATAACTAACTGCTCAGGATAATTAAGAAGATTAAATGGGCTGGCACATATCAAGGTCTTTGATCAATACCGGTTCACAATAAGTATTCAATAAATATTAGGTATTATTATTGTCCCAATTCAGAGATTCCATGGCTGCAATCTTATTCTGGGTGTTGAGACTCACCCCCTGCCTGTACCCAATGTAAAAAAAATGCTAAAGAGAAAAGTCACACAATTTGGGGACATCATTACTAATAAAACTCAAAATTAAGAACTTTTCTTCTTCCTTTGATTGTCAATTGAAATCATATTTTCACTGAAGGAATTTCTTTACTAACTTTTTGGAATCTTTGATTGCATGGGATTCTGCTCAAAACGAGTGTTTAATTTCAGTTCCTATGTTGTTTATAGCACAGGTGCTGGGGATTAAACACATTACACTCACAAGTGCAAAAATGGAGTGGAGAGGACTTCCTGTTGCATTTGCAACTTGACTCAGCATGAAATTCTTTAATCATATAAAGGGGTGTCCCAAAATTCACGCAAGAAGTAATTTTGATAGAAAACACAGGTTTATAATTAAAAATTGTAAATTTTTTATTGATTCATAAAGTATACAGTATAGGGTTATGTATGGAATAGCATATTGGGTAAATGGTCTCCATGGCTTTGCTGGCACATATGCGCTCTTTTGTTATTGCCTGAGCAGCCTCATTTTCAAAGAAGAATGGTCCGATGACACCTCCAGCCCCAAATCCGCACCAAACAGTGACACATTGTGGATGCATTTGTTTCTCAACAATTACTCGTGGATTTTCTGAACCCCAAAAGCGACAATTTTGTTGATTAACCAAGCCATCAAGATGAAAATGAGCCTCATCGAAATTCAGCCACATTTATGCAAAACGGTCATGGAAAATTTCAACAAAAGAGTGCGTATGTGCCAGCAAAGCCATGGAGGCCATTTACCCTATATCCTATTCCATACATAACCCTATACTGTATACTTTATGAATCAATAAAAAAATTACAATTTTTAATTATAAACCTGTGTTTTCCATCAAAATTACTTCTTGCGTGAATTTTGGGACACCCTTTATTTCCCCCTCAAACTTATACACTAGGCTTTATTTTCTTCAGAAATTTAACACAAACATTGGAGGCACATCTGATTGTTTATCCTTTTTTAAATGTTATTATTTATTTTAAAAAATATATGTATATTTTTAAATTTTGTTTTATTGCTTAAAGTATTGCAAAGAGTAGTACATATGTCTTCTTCTTTTTTTCCCCCTTGACCTTCCCCCCGGCCTCCCCTACCTCCCAGTATCTTGCGCCCATTGGTTATGCTTATATGCATGCATACAAATCCTTCGGTTGATCCATTTTTATTGATTTCAGAGAGGAAAGGAGAGAGAGAGATGGAAACATCAGTGATGAGAGACAATCATTGATTGGCTGCTTCCTACACACCCTACACTGGAGATAAAGCCCAAAACCCTAGCATGTACCCTAACCTGGAATCGAACCGGCAACCTCTTGGTATATGGGACGATGTACAACTAACTGAGCCACACAGCTGGGTTAATTGTTTAACCTTTTAAGTAAATTTTCTTTTTGCCCAAATGTTAATAGAATTATTTTCTCAATCTTTTATTTTTTAAAGTTTCTAGGATGTCTACTTTTGCTTATATTTATTGGAAATCAGTGTAATCAGGTGACTATCCAAGTTAAGAAATTTTTTTAACTATATCTTTGATTATTGATTTCATGCCAATTAATCTGCTTCCTTTCTCAGAAACACCATAATTCTTGGATTTACTTTGTGTTTTCTCTTTGTATCTACAATTGCCCTCCTAATATTCCCTATACATTTTAAGAGAGACCCGCATCAATAACTAAGTTTTCCAGTGCATCAGTTTTGCTGCTTTATTGCCTCTAAAATCTATTTAAATTCTGCTGTTGCATTTTAAATCTTATTGATCTTCTAATTCTTGCCATAAATCTTTTTCTGAAATCTCACTTTTTGTCTATACAGTGGGGCCTTGACTTACGAGTTTAATTCGTTCGGAGACCAAGCTCATTAAGGAGCTCGTTAAGGAGCTCGTTAACTCAAATTACTCTGTCAACTCAATGCAAAAAATCGGCCCTGAGACAGCTGGTATCTCAAAAAACTTGTTAGTCGGGACACTCCTAAGTCAAGGCCCCACTGTACCATGATGTATGCCTTCCTTATTTGACACTATTTTTTTCACAACCCTAAAGTTCTTACCCATTTATTTAACCTTGGATATGGATTGATGTGTTCAAAAACTATGTGCATCAACAAAGGGTTTGCACGGGTTTCTGTCAGCCCCACTATTGTGTATTTCTTCTACAAAGAGAGTGGATAAAATATACAAATCCAGCCCTAGCTGGTTTGGCTCAATGGATAGAGCGTCGGCCTGCGGACTGAAGGGTCCCAGGTTTGATTCCGGCCAAGGGCACATGCCTGGGTTGCAGGCTCAATCCCCAGTAGGGGGCGTGCAGGAGGCAGCCAATCAATGATTCTCTCTCATCATTGATGTTTCTATCTCTTTCCCTCTCTCCCTTCCTCTCTAAACTCAATGAAATATATTTTTAAATATATATATATATATATCCAAACACTGCTCCAGGGTTCTTTCTGTCCTTGATTCTTAAATCCTCCTCACCCATCTGTAGCTAAAACATTGTTTGATGCATATCATGGATAACATTATTTAGAATGGAAATGGGTATTAGAGTATGAGAATATTTAAATTATATATTGATTATAGCAAATACATTGGTGAACAGTGTGCATATGTGGGATAAATTTAGTGTTGTTGTTGAGTAAGAGAAAAGAATAAGACAGTGGACTGGGGAAAACAAGAATACAACGTGAGTAATGTGGATGAAGTTGGCATTCAACTGTGGAACAAAGGAACCCACTGAGGCAACTGCACATCTTCCTCATCCTGTTGCCCCAGTTACAGGACCTCCGCACAGGTTAACGACAACGTAATAAAACAATACTGGACATGCAAAAGAAGTAAACAGCATCAGGGATGATGCAACAAGTGTTCTGGCTTATCCAGCTCCAGGACAAACTGGGAGGAGCAGGAAGGGGAGATAGGCATGCATTAGATGATATATGAAATCATAAGGAGGACTTGGGTTAAAATAAAACAGAATGTCCTGAGCCTGTGAATTAAAGAGTAGTAGAGAACCTGTTGCCTAGTCAGCATAAATCAATTGTTTGAACTCTATGTTGCCTGGCTTGTCCTGCAACATTGCTGGATGGAAGGAACTTTGCAGTAGTCATGGAGGAGTTCACTCCCCAGAGTTTCATGCTCCGGTTGGTTTTCTTGCAGTTATGGCAGCCTGCTGATTTGTGTGATCTCCTGCCTCTGCCTGCCTTACTGGAGTGTCAGTCTTGTTGGTGTGAAAAGATTGAAGAGTCATTTTGAGCATAATTCCCACAGCCCCATAGGCTCCCGTCTAGAGTAGTTCTGTTGGACTGCTAGAATGCATTTCTCCATGTATGGCCTGACCCTGACATTCCAAACAAAGAGAGTGGATGAAATATGCAAACCCAAACTACCTCCAGAGTTCTTTCTGTCTTTGTCCCACAAAAAAATACATTACTTGTGATGACAAAACTTCCTAGAGTGGGAAAGTGCCAATGACTGTCTCACCTTCCTCTGAGTCATACTTGAAAAAAAACAAACTACTAAGAAAGACAGAGGCTAGGAAACAGCAGCAAGTGCAAAGCAGAGAAATGGATTCCAGAATTTTGGTTGGCAGAGATCTTGTGTTTCTGAATTCGGGAAGGCAGTCATGGTAGGAACACAAGACAGATTGCCACACAGGTAGCTCCTCAATTAGACCTTTCCATCCAGCCCCATTAATTTGTAGTCAGCAAAAATTTCTTCCCCATTTGATCGTTCATTGATTCTTAGGTTTTATTTTTCAATATATTTTTTATTAATTTGAGAGAGAGAGAAAGTGGGAGGGAGAGAGAAAGTATGAGGATATTTAAATTAAATATTAAGTATAGAAATACATTAGTGAAAGATGTGCATCCTGTGCACCCCACTGGAGATCTAGCCCATAACCTGGGCATGTGCCCTGATTGGGAATCAACTATTGACCTCTCAGTGCATGGACAACACTCAACCAACTGAGCCATAGTGGCCAGGGCTATCTCTTAGGTTTCAGAATTGTGAGTTTTCATCTGTTAGTTGTAAGAATTTGTGTAGCACAAGATATATCTTTCCTACATAATAGATGAATTGTTAGTTTTAAATATTGTGTACTTCTATATTTTTAATGAAAAAATTTTAAGTTAGATTTATATCACTAAAAAGTCAGTTGGTAATACATTATACATATTTTAATGACAAAAGTGCTTTTATTCATTCAGAAGAAACATTTTAATCAATCAATGTTGTATAAAGAATGCATTTACTGATTTACAGAAAGATTTAATAATCTCACTCTTTCTCATTTTTGTAAACAGATATATTTCCCCTTGGGATTAAAATTTTGAGAAATCACAATACAAATAGGAAGTTTTTTTCACCAAAGAAGATAAGAATGTAAACAATGCCAGACAATTCCAAGCCTATTTGTAGGTTATGATTATCCAGCTCAGTGTCCAGCGATGATGCAGGTCAGTGTGGAATCGGCCTTCAAGATCATCAGCCCCAAAAGGAACCACAGGAGACACTAAGTATTTGATTATCTGAGATAAATTTGATCCATGGGATGTGAATTATGGATAAAGGACTTGCAAGAGCTGCCCAAAACTGCCTCATATCCCCAATGAGAAAATGTTTAATGCCATAAACAAACTTTGATTATCTGCAGCCTGCATGAAGAACATGGAACTTGACTCTCACAGCACAAAGAAATTGCCAGTGTGGAAGAAAATTTGGGTGGATGGGAAAGCATGAAAGCATGTGAAGTTAACCTACCTTCACCTGCAAAAACTGCTACCACCACACGTAACCAACACGGTGGCAACTGGGAAGAAGATGGATATAAGGCAGGGCAGGGAAGTGGGGCCAGAAGTTCACCTCCACAGAAAAAAGACTGAGGCATGTCAGGGTCATTCCAGAGCGTTCAGCTAAGGCAGAGATCAAGAACTCAAACTGACACATCAGAGAACAAAGGTCCCGGGTCCTGTAGTCGAACACTCAGGCATCGGGCTTTCAGTAGATTGGAGCTGGATATGGAGCCAGTGGCCTTCCTGACAAGAGATTCCACATGCATCATGCCCGGGCCCAGGCCTGAGACCTTTGGGTGGACAAATAGGTTCATGTGAGCAGAGTACAGAGAGGGGGATGAGGACCCCAACTTTCCACAGTGAAAAGTGCTCCCTCCCCCACCTCATGATGGGTATTTAGGAGAATGCTCTAAGTAAGGGAAGAGGGTGCAGAAGAGACAGAGAGCAGTGCTTCATGATGATAGCCTCAGTGACTCAATGAGGAAAACTGAGACTAATCTCTTTTAAATTCACTTGCCACTCTCCTGGGTCAATGTCAAATTCACAAGACAAATTCTCTGTGCAAAATGAATGCTGGTTGATACATTTCTATAACTTTGAGCTCTCACTGAAATCCATGCCCAAGCCTTCCTTCCTCCTAAGTGAGAAGCCTCTTACAGGACATCTTTGGGAAATAGAAGATGGAAGAGGAAGATGCATCTTGCCCAGTGCACGGAAATTTTAACTGTCATAGAAACAGAGCTGAGTTTCCAAAAATACATTCCATTTAAACATTTTCTCTTGTCACCCATGTTAAAGTGGTTTCTGTGTTTGCCATTTCCTAGAAGTGGTCTAATGATTTGAACTTTCACGATTCCCTCAAAAGGAGGTAGGTAACTTAAAGTCAATATCATTCTCAATGATGTTGACTTTCAGGTCCAGAGGGTGAATTTTTTTATATGCTTGAAAGCTCGGGGTGGTGAGAGGTGAAAGAGGGAGCAAGGGTTCTTCAATACTAAAGGATTTAGACGAAAGTCAACTACAGGTTGAGAAAAAGAGCAGGACACACCCAGGCCAAAAGCTGGAAGAAGGGAGCATGACACTGTGATGAAATTCCATCAGCTTTAGATATTAGCAAAAAAAATGCCCACATTATGCTATGGGAAGATTACATTGTCATTTTCTTCCAGCTCCCAGGTACTAGGCACTGTGCCCCTTTCAAGGAGAGCAGACCCTGCCATAGAAGAAAATGGTTTGGTTTATGTTGTGTCTGATGAAAAAGAGAAAAGGGTGATCAGCATTAAAGGTCTCCCAGGATGGTGCAGACATTACACTGCCCACAGCCCCACTGGCTCCGACAGCCTGGGTGCCATTTTCATCCACCTCCACAAAGGTTTTATGGACAACTTTCGACAGGTACAAACTGGGATGTAGAGAGATTCCAGTAAGATCAGCCTTCTTTTCATCAAAGATATCCGTGATGCCCATGTCTTGGAGAATAGAGTTGAGCTCATAGCTGTCTTCCAGGGTGAACTGGGGAAAGGAGACAGCTACTCTTTTTTCTGACATATTTTCTGAACTGCTCCAGGCCACTATTTTTTCATAAGTGATGTTCCTTTCAAGCTGCAAGATGAAGAAAACAATATTAAGGGTCAGATTATGAGCCTGCAAAGAATACCCCAATTACTTCTCAGGGCCCAAGTCTACTCAATGATAGTAACAATGTTCAAGGTCTTTTCCTACACCTCAAACTACTCTGATTTCATTTAAAACTCCTCCAAACAAATCTCTTTTCTCTTTAGAAGTTACAGAACAACTTGAGTTTCAGTGTTTTGGAGAGTCTGACAGACAAGTATTCAAAGCTCAGCAAAGCTCAGTTGATTAAGTTGGGTGAGCATGACCAAGCCTTGACATTGGAAGTTCAATCTCTTCTATAAAACAGAGATAATACCATCAGGCTCCTCAAGGATTCGACAAAATTATGTATTTAAAGTACTTAACATAGTGCAGACACATAATACATTTTGAATAATGTTTATTATTATAATTACTATCCAGTGTTTCTGTTTCTCTCACCCTCTGTCTCTATCTCTTTACCTACAGGATGTGTAGTTGAGCTCCCCAGGTTTTATTAATTCCCACCTCACACACAATCTATTCCAGTATCAGCATCCCCAAGCACAGTCATCCCGAAGCAGGATTCAGCTAAAGCGTCTTTAACTGAGCTATGGCAAAATAGTCTGAGTGAGAGGCCAGCAGTTGGGATGTTCAGGGAAAAGGAAAAGCTATCTTATCTGTAGCAATTCTCAAGTTACTCCCATCCAGATTCGGAGATCTGGAAAATACAATTTCAGAGAGCAAAATGGGATTAGAGAGGAAAGCCCTAGCCTACATGTTTGGCATTTGTTCTTTTCCAAACAAGTGAGGAATAAATAGGTCAGCAAATTCAGATTCTTATATATGATTTGCTTATCTCGGACAGCTCAGATACCACCCTGCCTCAGGAGGTAGATGGTAGATGGGGCTGCTCTCCTAAGATCTATAATGAAACATTTTGGAGAGACAGGAAAATGAAGCTTTACCTCCTGTAGGCCCTTCAGGTTATCTGCAGAGCAAGACGGCAGGAGGACGAACATGCTGAGCTTGCCCTTGATGTACGGCATTTCAAGGATCTGTGCATTCACCTCCTCTATGAAGCCCATTTTAAACATACCCTTTTGATTCATCATCTTCACAGTCTTCTTCTCATTCTGCAGTGAATGAACAAAGTAGAAGGTCACAGGACTGCCATCGTAAGCTTAAAAACTCACATGGTCCCCACCTTCTGTGAAAACAGGGGTCCATGAAGTTGAGCAGGGTCTTCCCCAGAAGTTCTGAGCCACAACAGTGACTCAACCTAAGAGTCATCTGCCCACAGGCCCTTACTTTGCCAACACGTTCTCCTCCTGTGGTTTTAATGGATTATTCAACTCCCAAAACCATTTATTGGTAGCTTGTCTATCCAGGCAACTACTCACAGCCTAGCCAGCAGAAACAAGCCCTGCAGCTCTCTCTCTTTTATACCTCAGCTACCCCAGCTTCATGGTCTCACTCAACCCCCTGTCTGAGCTGGACTGAATGATCCCACTGCAGGGCCAATGGGAACCTTGGTTAAATGATAATCATCTACATAGTAAATAACAATACCTGTTCCATGGACTTTCATCAGAGGCAAGGTCACAGCCTCAGACACCTCAAACCTCAGACAAGCTCACAGTATGGGGGTGGGAGGACTAGCAATCTACAGATGAGGACATGAAGCCCTTGACAGTGATCCAGCTAACAAGTGCTAGGCTGGGTCTGACTTTTCCCTTCCTCTTATTCTACAGCCAGGTGGTTTAGAACATGGATTTTTCAGGCAAACACAGATGTGAATCCTAATGCATGGATTTGGCTACATAACTTAACCATTGTGGTTTTTTCCCCTCGGCTCCTTAGTGGGAATAATAACAATAACACCTATTTTCATAAGGTGATTTTAGGGAACAAATGAAATAACAAATAGAAAATGCTCAGTGCAATGTCTGGGAAAGAAAGAAGGAAGGAAGGAAGGAAGGAAGGAAGGAAGGAAGGAAGGAAGGAAGAAAGAAAGAAAGAAAGAAAGAAAGAAAGAAAGAAAGAAAGAAAGAAAGAAAGAAAGAAAGAAAGAAAGAAAGGAGGGAACCAAGATGGCGGCATAGGTTAACGCCATAGCTTGCTGCCTCGAACAACCACTTCAAAAATACAACTAAAAGACGGAACGGACATCATCCAGAACCACAGGAAGGCTGGCTGAGTGGAAGTTCTACAACTAGGAGGAAAGAGGAAACCAAACGAGACTCAGAGGAGGCGCAGTGCTGAAGTGAAATACTAAGGTTCGGAGTGCATGTGGAGTGGGTCGGTGGCGAAGGGCACGGTTGTTGTCTTCAATCGGGAGGGAGTTTCAGACTCTGAGCTCCAGATCCTGGCGAGTCTCTAGGGACCCAGACTCAAATGGGAGAAGCGGGAAGGCAGCTTTCTCTCCGAGGTCTGCAGCAGTTGCAGAGCCGCTGGAGACGGAACTGAGAGCAGCCATAACTGCTCGCTCCACCTGCCCTGTAGATCCCCTGGGGACCCGCCCCGCCCAAGCCCTGCACAGAGGCATTTGCCGGAGAGCCTCAGGCAAAGGCTAGATTAGCACCTCCCTAGAGATTCAGCACAGTAGTGCTCCCACTGCAGACACAGCTGACTCTCATAGCCAGTTAGCCTGGAGGTCAATTCACCCCCGTATTGCCGACAACAATCAAGGCTTAACTACAACAAGACTGAGCACAAAGACCACAAGGGGGTGCACCAAGAAAGCATAAAAAATGCGGAGACAAAAAAACATGACAGAAATGGAGGATATAGAGCTAAAAAACGCACTTTTAAGGGCTTTCAATAATTTGCTAGGAACTGCTGATAAACTTGATGAGAGCCTCAAGAAAACTAATAAGACCCTCGATGTGATAAAGAACCAACTAGAAATTAAGCATACACTGACTAAAATAAAGAATATTATACAAACACCCAACAGCAGACCAGAGGAGCACAAGAATCAAGTCAAAGATTTGAAATGCGAAGAAGCAAAAAATACCCAACTGGAAAAGCAAAATGAAAAAGAATCCGAAAATACGAAGATAGTGTAAGGAGCCTCTGGGACAACTTCAAGCGCACCAATATCAGAATTATAGGGGTGCCAGAAGATGAGAGAGAGCAAGATATTGAAAACCTATTTGAAGAAATAATGACAGAAAACTTCCCCCACCTGGTGAAGGAAATAGACTTACAAGTCCAGGAAGCACAGAGAACCCCAAACAAAAGGAATCCAAAGAGGACCACACCACAACACATCATAATTAAAATGCCAAGAGCAAAAGACAAAGAGAGAATCTTAAAAGCATCAAGAGAAAGAGACTCAATTGCCTACAAGGGAATACCCATACGACTGTCAGCTGATTTCTCAACAGAAACTTTGCAGGCCAGAAGGGAGTGGCAAGAAATATTCAAAGTGATGAATAGCAAGAACCTACAACCAAGATTACTTTATCCAGCAAAGCTATCATTCAGAATTGAAGGTCAGATGGAGAGCTTCACAGATAAGGAAAAGCTAAAGGAGTTCATCACCACCAAACCAGTATTATATGAAATGTTGAAAGGTATCCTTTAAGAAGAGGAAGAAGAAGAAAAAGGTAAAGATACAAATTATGAACAACAAACATGCATCTATCAACAAGTGAATCTAAGAATCAAGTGAATAAATAATATGATGTACAGAATGAACTGGTGATGATAATAGAACCAGGGACATAGAAAGGGAATGGACTGACTGGACTGACTATTCTTGGGGGGGAAAGGGGAGTGGGAGATGCGGGAAGAGACTGGACAAAAATCGTGCACCAGTGGGTGGGGAGTGAGGGCGGAGGGTGGGGCGGGAACTGAGAGGAGGGGAGTTATGGGGGGGAAAAGAGGAACAAATGTAATAAACTAATAAACTGAACAATAAAGACTTAATTTAAAAAAAAGAAAAAGAAAGAAAGAAAGAAAGAAAGAAAAAAGAAAGAAAGAAAGAGAAAGAAAGAAAGACAAGCTCAATTATCTCCAGATAATGATTTTTGTTAATAGCAAAAGTGTTCTTATTACAAATGTAAGCTGTAACCCAGAGGTCTAAGCTTTAAAGTTGAGTATACATATTACAAACCATTCTTAGTGGAAACTGTGAGTGGAATCAATAGAAACCACATACATGCTCTAATATATAGTACCTCACTTAAAGAGAAAGGTACATCAACTGTGTTTTTAACTTCAAAGTATTTTTCCCATTTGGCCTTGAAGTAAACAGCATTCACCAGCACCAGGACAGTCCCATTATTAATGGCATTCTTGCTGAAGAGTTCCTTGATTTTACCTAAAAAATAAAATAAAATAAAAAAATAATTCCAGAGAATATCTTAAATATGAATTGTATCAAAAGTATTCATATAGACAGATTTGTTTCTTAATGCAGCTTAACATGCCCAAGGCTAGAGAGTGTTTCATTCAAGAACTAACCCAAGGAAATTAAACCACTCAGAGTCCTGGGTGGGGAAGGAGTAGAAGTAAGGTTGGGAGTGGTGGGAGGAGCATCTAATTCAGAGCCCTGTAACTAAGGGCAGTTTTCTGGTTCTCTCTATCACTGTGGTGGAAACTTGGCATCAGACATCTTATGCCCTGATCCTGCTGCCTGATTATATTATCACATCCTTGATAAAACAAGCTCTTGTATAAACTTCCTGTCTCAAGCACTCATCACAGCAGCATGCATATGCTTATGCATAAACAAAAATGCACATAAATGTACGCACCGATGATATAAAACCTATCTTATAGAGACTTTCACATGCCCTCCCTCATTCCATCCTACATCAGCCATGAGAAGTCAAAATTGTTATCCTTTCTCTCTAGTATAATAAACTATAGCTCATGAAGACTGAGGCCACACAGCCAAAAAGCAGGGAAGCTGACTGAGATGAGTCCCTGGACCTTCCCATTCTTGGTTCAGTGCTGGGCCTCCTTCCACAACAGCACAGCCCTAAGACAGACAGGAAAATCCCATGCTATCAGGCAATAGTTCATTTTTAGTACACAACCTTTTCTACCTCAAAATAGCAAATCAACAGTACCATTACTGGAATGCATGCCTAGGCCTGAGCACCTTAAGATTCCCACTTAAATCTCATAATAATACATTATTTTGTCACCATAGATATTTCAAATACTCGGGGGGAGTTAAGTAACTAAAGAGAAACTAGACATTCATGCCTTAATCTAAAGTTTTTCCTCTTGGCAATTAAGTGGAACCTTAAAGGTATGAGAAATTTTTTGTGGCATGTGAAAGAAGTGAAGACAAATAATTTTGGAGTTAGGTTATTCCCCCGAAGGGAAGGCCAGGCAGGAGCACCCCAGCCTTAAGCCAATGTGAGGAAGACTGGAGACAGGGAGAGGATAGGGCATATTCCCAGGTAGGAAAATCTTTACTTGAAAAAGTAAATTAAAATATTTTACATGTGTTATAAGGTGACATGAATGGCATGTCAGAAAGGTGATTTCTTTATTTGGGCTCATAGACTCTACTTTTCATTTTGAGAAATTAAGATTTCGTGTTAGTCTTATGGGTCATTCCTGATGACTCTGACTCTCATTAAACAATCCATCATCTATCCAAGTATTTGGTAAAATCCTTCTGGTCTATATCTTAATATCTCTCAAATCCATCCACCTCTCACCATCTCCACTCTTGTCTACTTCTAAACTGTTCTCCAGCCTATAATCAGAGATGTCTTTTAAAAGATACATTCCCTGCCCTGACTGGTATGGCTCAGGTGGTTGAACGTCCTCCCATTCTTGGAGAGGTCCACCAGTTTGATTCCCAGTCAGGGCACATGCCCAGGTTTTGGGCTCAATCCCCAGTATGGGGCATGCAGGGGACAATCAATTGTGTTTCTCTCTCACATCGATGTTTCTCTCTCTCCCTCTTCCTTCCTCTCTCTAAAATAAATAAAAACATTAAAAAAAATTAAAGACACACTCCCTGTCTTAAACCTTCTCTAGCTTTCTTTTGTTCTTAGTTCATCGTGTAAATCAATTCTGAAAAATTTCTACACTTGGGAGGGTTCTTATTAAGGCAATGTTACTTTGTATATTAATAATAAGTAAATACAACACACTAAAATAGCTATTGCAGGTTTGAAACTCCCTACAGCTCAATTAAAGAATAGTTTTTAAATATGCTAAATTATTTTGTTGTAAGTTAGGTATTGTAAGTTCAAGAAATGGGGTCCCAAATATTTCTAATATGACAGACAAACTCCAATATCAGTGGATATTTTAGAGGGAAGATGAGTTTTGATTCTATAGGCAAATGAACATTTAGTGCTGAAAACACTGGTGTGGTTCAAAAAATGAGAGTGATCAACAGTATCAAAGAAAACACTAAATTATAATGAAAGCATTTATAGCATTATAGAACCTATGAGGAGAAACTATTTAGAGTGTGAAATTGTGGGTTCCATTTACTAAAGAAAATATAAATTATGAAATTTTATGGCGGTAAGACATCTTCTCATTCCTACTCCATCATTTTACAGATGTAGCTACTGAGAACCAGAAAGGTCATCAACACCAAAGTCCTTTGAGCAATTGAGCTGCAATCAGCCCCAGTTTTGTGCAGTTTCTGTTTTGCTTTAATGCAAACATCACAGCAGTGAAGAACCCTGTACTCTGCCAAGTTAAGCACAGGTGTAAGAGATGGGCAATACACAAGGACTTGATACTATTCCAAAGTAGTACCATTTATATGTTTTTTGGAATAGCCATAGAAATGGCTTACATTGAAGAAAACATTAGAAGGAGGACAATAAAGAGTAGAAGGTAGATGGAGATCAATGCTCAGAGGGGTCATGGCTGAGGATTGGTAGCCAGGCAAGTGTGCTTGATGACTGGGAAGCCAGCAAGCAAGGCAGGGAGGCTGATTGTATTTAAATATGACGGGGTGAGGGGCTGCTTTGAGAGCCCCGTGTTTATACAGTCCTTTCAGAGACTTCCATTTTGGTGGGAGCTGGATGAAGTTGGAAAGGGAGTTTCATATTAAAAAATAATGCCATCCATGTTGATCTCAAATGTTCACCACTCATCACTATCTGAAAATCCCCCTTCACTCAGAACACATATTTCTAGTGAAAAGTTGATAAGAAGAAGGATTTTATTATTTCCACATCCTTATGAATAACTAGATTCTCTTCACAATCTTTTTACTGACCCTTTAAAAGAAATGGAAAGAGTTAACGTCCTGCTGACCCTGTGCTTGGCTGAAAGAAAAGCACATCACCTTTATGATGGAGTAGAGAAGCGACAGTAACTATAGCACCTACGCATTTTAACTGTTTGACGCGCTCGAAAGAAGCTGTGGGCCCAGTCCACACCTGTAAGCATCTGGTCCCGAACAGATGAGCAATGTGAAAAGCTGGCCTGAGCTGTTTGCTTTTAAATGGGAAGGAATACCAGCTACAACACGTTTGGTCTTTCTTACCTTGGGATTGAGATTCAACCCAGAAGTTAATCTTTTGTCTGGACTTTTCAGTGTCTTTCCGGAAGTCAACACTTTCGATGGTTGTGTGATAAAATTGAATCACATCATCTAAGTACTCCTGTTAAATTAGAACAAATGGAAATCATATCGTTATGCTAATAGTTAGGAGTGAAGCAGTCATGTGCCTCGTCACTCAAACTGGATGCGTGTCAGTCTCTGTCTACCCCAGTCCTGATAAGCCAGACATTTCAGCTGCTGCAGTGACAGTTTCAAACCTAGAATGCTTGGTTATGGGGCAGTCCCTAGTTATACTGGCACAAGGCTCTCCTACCAGATAGCCTTGTATTTGGACATTCCATTTGTGGAAACATCACAAGATAAATATCAAGCATCTTGAGCAACTTAGCTGTAAAATGCTTCTATTTCAAAAAATTAAAACTGCTGAATGAGTTTCTGTTTGAAATGATAAAAAAGTTTTAGAATAGGGGGATGATTATGCAACATTGTGAATATAATTAATGCCATCGAATTGTATATTTAAAATTATTAAAGTGGACATTTTTGTTATAGATCTACAATTTTTTAAATTAATAATGTAATATACCAAAATCATCAATTTGTACATTTTTATTAGTAACTGTATGATATATGAATTTATACCTCAATAAAGCCAGATTTTCAATAAAACAGCATGTAGAATCTAATTTCCATTGTGAGAAAACTACTTATTTTGGTCCAAGTAGGCTGCCTCTCCCTTTCTAGGCCAGCCCTAGGCTGTGTGGCATATTTGCCATTGGTCACTCCCCTCATGTTTAGTGCCGTGTCTATGGCTCCTTCTAGTGGTGACAGAGGAAACTGAAGTCCAGATTCAGATGAAACTTGTTCTAGGGACAAAGCAGTGTAGCCACAGAGAAAGACAGGTGCCTTTTGACTCCAAATACAGTCTCCTTCTGCCCTGCTCTGCTCCTTCAGTGAGTACAATTTCTAGGGGCAGGGGGTTGGAGGGAAGCAGGGGCTTGATGGTGGCACCAAAGGTGATTTTAGGGAAGTGCCTTAGAAGGCAGGGGTAGGAGGGACAACAGGAAGAGGAGCTACCGAGTGCAGCTACCAGGCACCTTGATTGGGAAAGAGAAAACAGCATTATCAAACTCACACGTGTTCTGAAGGCTATTAGACCTATGACTCTCTTTCCACCCACTCTAGCCCACTCACAAGAAGCCTCGTAAACTGCTCAAGTTGAGAACTGGGGGGAGAGCCACAGAAGCCATGAGAGAGGAGGTGGGTCCTGGACATCCCACCAGTCCGCAGTGCACAACATGTCAACGAGGTCTGTGTTCCAGATGGCGGGTGATTTGTAGATAGTATGCTCCATGATAGCTCTAAACACCGTTCTTGCCCAACTCACCGGACAGATTGGAAATTCCTGCTCTCCATAAAGCCTGTTAGCAATACTCAGGGTGTAATCAGATTTGATCCTATCTAGTTTGGAGAGAAGCTGCCCAAAGTAGCAACTGAGAAGTTCATTCTCATCCTTTGAAGACTCCACCTAACAAAAGAAACAAAATGTGGTCTTAGCCAGTTCAAAGCAAATTGGCTTTGTTACCATGTAGGGGAGCAAGATGAGAAGAAGAGAGGAAGGAGGAGAGCAGAGAGGTCCCAGTGGAAAATCATCCATGAAGAATACATCTGGAGGCAATCTTCTCTGCACCTTCCTCTTAAGCTTTTTAAGGTGGAGGGATATGTAATTCCTGCTCCTGGTTATGGGACAACCAATAAAAATTGTGTGTGTCAGTACAGATTTCACCTGGAAACAAAACAGGCAAAAGGGGGAGGGGAAGAGTAAAAATCCCACAGCTAATCCCTCCTCCCCTTACTGCCCTTCATCCTCAACCAGGCTCCATCCTGGGGAGCTGTGGTTTGTAAAAGTAGGTGAGTAGAATTGCTTTGAATAGAAGATACTAGATTCTACTCTTTAGGAAAGTGGCTTACAGCCAAGAATGTATAAGACACATAAACGATAAGAATTGTGGGTCATATGGGGTTATTGCTGTTATTGGAGCTGTGGATGATGGCCAGGACATAATGTGTGGGGATAAGCAACCATCAGCACCACAGCCAGCATGAACGGCTTGTGAAGACGAGGAGCAGGAGTTTATGGGTAGCTCACCTGTGGGGTTGAAGGCTTGGTCGCTCCTTTCTGCCCTTCCGGAGGGCTGTCAGCCAGCGCCTTCTGCTCTTTGTATTTCAGACAGGGATCCGGTGCTTTGGTTTTCTCCTGGGAAACTTCATCGAAGTGGAGTACCTGCGTGATGATGGCACGGGGCCTTTCAGACAATAGGAACAGCTCAAAGTCTGAAGAGCTTCAGAAACATTTTAATGATGTGACTATGACAATGATTACATAGTCCAACAAAACAATCAACAAAAGTTTAAAGAAACATCCCAAATCAAAAGAAATGTCCTCCTGGAGGGGAGGTCAACTGAATGCTACCCACACCCCCTTAGGACATGTAGGAATGAACATGACTAAATTAAAAGAGGATCAGGTATTCTTGAGACTGTCACCTGTGGCTATTGACCAGTCTGAATTAACTTTGAAAATACACACCAGATTTTGAAGACTTAGTATGAAAAAAAAGAAGGTAAAATATCTCATTTAAATTTTTAATTGTTGATATAATATTTTGGATGTATTGAGTTAAATAAAATGTATTATTAAAATTAGTCTCACCTATTTCCTTTTACATTTTTAGTATGATACTAAAGATTTTTAAATTACATATATGGCTCAAATTCTATATATGTTAGAAGGTGCTCATCTACAGTTTCAAATCAATCAAGTGAGCTAGGACAGGAGAAGACATGTTGCCCTGAGCATCACAGGAAGTTAGGAGGCCAGGTTTGCTGGCAGGTGACACCCAAGTGTCTGGAGAAAAAACACCTGAAACCTGGCCTGGATGATGCCAACCACACTCTAAAGCTAAGTTTTGCTAAAGAAATAATACCAAATCAAAGTAAATGAATAAAGTAGAATGACCCTAAATGCATTCTGCCTTAATCCAAGAATTCACTCCTCTGTATTAGGGACAGCAGTCGGGTTCAAATCCAAGGAGGTATAAGACCAACCTCAGGATCCTGTAATTTATTTGGGGAGTTGTTCTTTTTTTTTAATTTTACTCTTTATACTAAATATTTTATTTGTATGCTGCTGCCAGTGTATATAAAATAATCATTCTTGTGAAATAGAAATTCTTGAAAATTCAGAGAGGTAGGTGTTAAGGACTGACAAAAGCGGAAGTCTGTATAGTATGGCACATGTTATAGGATAAGCTTTTTGTACAGGCTTCAGATTTAGCTCTCTTTGAATATTCAGCTGTTCAAGAAAAGTGGTTTAGAACACTTTCAAATTTCATTTTACTACAAAAAGAAATAAACTTTCTGGGGTCTGAAGGGATTGGTACTTGAAGATACTTCAGTCAGCAGAGGGTCATGTTGAGCATTCTGCAGACCGAATTGTTTCCAATCTGCAGCTGCCTGGGAAACCTTCACGGGGTTGAGCCCGGCCTCCAGCCGGAGCTGTTGAACCACTTTCTCCATAGCGGTGACGCTGGAGGAACCAGACATGGTGCACGTAAGTGCCGGGCAGATTGGTCGGTAGCAGGTCACTGGTCATGGGTCCTCGGGGTGAGAAGGCGGGGCAGCAACCTGAGGAGTTGTTCTTGCCACTTTCATTCATTCATTCTATATATCGGTATTGGGTGGCTACCATAAGCCAAGCATTGTCCTAGGACAAAGATGACTGCCCTCTAGGACATTATATTCTAGTGGGTAGGACATTCAAAAAGCAATACAGCCCTAGCAAGCTTGGCTCAGTGGATAGAGCCTCAGCCTGCAGACTGAAGGATCCTGGGTTAGAGATTCAGTCAATGGCACATGCCTGGGTTGCTGGCTCGATCCCCAATAGGGGCATGCAGGAAGCAGCCAATCAATGTTCTCTCTCATCATTGATGTTTCTATCTCGCTCTCCTTTTCTTTTCCTCTCTGAAATCAATATATATTTAAAGCAATACATGTAGTGAGTAGTTACTGTATGCAGTATGTTAGAAAATGAAAAAATGCAATGCAAGGGTGGCAAAGCCATAAGAGGGAATCTTTAGGGATTGGGGCCAGGATGCAATGTTAGATTGAAAGGTCAAGGTAGGTAAACACTGCTCAAAGTCCTGAAGGAGAAAGTTATAGATGACTTATCTGTGGCAAGCAAAGGGAATGCATCAGGCCCTAAGGCAGCAGAGGGTTGGGCTTTCCAAGAAGTCAGGAGGCCAGCATGGCTGGAGAGAGAAAGAGGGGGGATGGGGAGAAATGGTATCACCAGTTACCTGGAATTCAGATCCCCAGACCTTCATGGGCCATTGTAAGGACTCTGGCTTCTATCATTAGTGAAATTAAAAAGGGGGGTTTTAAGCAGATAAGAAATCAGGTCTGACTTAGGTGTTCAAAAGACCTTTCTGGGAGCTGGGTGGAGAATACTGTCAGTGGAAGCAGGAAATTCCTGAGGAAATTGTATTCAGGTTAGAAGAGACCTCAGGGAGGTGGTGGGAGGTACCTGGTTCTGGGTAGATCTCAAAAGAAAAGCCTGTCTTTTCTGACAAATTTGATGTGAAGTGAGAAAGAGAGTCAATGACTCCGGGATCGTTAGCCACTGGACATGAAACTGGTGCCTACGAAATATTTACTTAATAAAATGAATGAAAGAGAAAACACATACACATTAAAAATTGCTAGCAATATTGGTATCAATAATTATAGAGAGAAAGAGCAACAGACATGCAGACAGACAGATACAGATAAGATGAATCAGGAAAGCTGTCAGACTGGTAAGGTCGGAGAGATACCATAAAGGAGACTGAAGATTCATTGAGCCTCCAAGAATGGTGGGATTGAAGAGGAAGCAAGGCGAGGATGAAGACTCTGAGCAAGTCCAGGGTTCAGTGAGCAGCTTGGCTTGCCAAAATGGGATTAGGGTCTGGCTTTGAGAGTGGACCCAGAGTTACTGCAACCGTACCCGGTCTATCTGATGTGCACTGTCACTTCTGGCCCCCAGACGGACCATGCCAAGGGCAGCTGAGAGGCTCAGAGGACAAAAGAAGATGTTCTTAGCACCATCATTTTTGCTTATCTCTTTAAAAAGATCAAAGCTAAATTTGGAGTTTGCTGCAATAAGAGAATCCATCTTGAAACTGATGACAGCCTAAATCAAACAAATAAGAGAAAATGATGATCAGAGAAAAATAGGTAGACAGTTCTCATTTTAAATACTCAAGATATAATCATATACAGTTATTTAGTAAGATATTAAAACCTGGAAGATAAAGTCACCATCATCTGGTCTATAGATGTTGATGTCAGTATTGATAATAATACAGATAGAGATCTATTTTTATTCAGTGATGTGGATTCTTTTGCTAAGGCTGCCATAACAAAATACCACAAACGAGGAGGCTTAACCAACAGGAACTTATTCTCCCTCAGTTCTGGAGGCCAGATGTCCATAATCAAGGTGTTCGCAGGATTGGTTCATTCTGGAGGCTCTTGGAGAAAATCTGCTTCGTGCCTCCCCCCAGGCTGCTGGTGGTGGCCAGCAATCCTTGGCATGCCTTGGTTTGTAGAGCCATCATCTCTGCCTCTATCTTCACATATGTCTGTCCTTCTGTCTTCTGTGTGTGTACCCAAATATCCCTTTTCCTATAAGTCATTGGATTAAGGCCCACCCTAACCCAGTAGTTTGACCTCATCTTAAGTTGACCACATCTGCAAAGACCCTATTTCCAAATAAGATCACATCACCATTACTGGGGATTGGGACTTAAACACTTCTTTTGGAGGGCAAAATTCTACCCACTTCATGGTGGAACTTCCTTTATTCAGGTAAAATCAAGTCAAAGGCTACCATGTCCCCATGGTCAAGTTAGTAACCAAGAAAGCTTCAATCACCTCCTTCTCTTGGTTCTGCTTAAGACATTTGTCTGGACTGTCCCTGAATTTTCTATGGCAGAATATATACACAAAAAATTGTCATGGGTCATGTCCTTTGTTAACATTCTCACCTCATTTTGACTCATTCCATATGAAACCTATAGGACTTGAAGCACTTTAATCAGTCCTTGATATTGTCCAAGAGGTAATGGAGGGTTGAAAGATGCTGAGGGTTTAGAAGTCATTTGGCTTCTCTTGACAATGTAGAACCATAAGTAATGGAACCAAAGTAAGGGAATGATTTCCCTTAGGACAGCCCTTGCCCCAGCCCCATCCCAATAATCTATTCCATAAGTATCAAGACAACTTTATATACTAGTAGATCTCACTTTGGACCTATCCCCCTCAAATAAAATGTCTTTTGTCTTTTGCCTATGGATATTGTATATTTCCAAGATGGAAATGTAAGCCCCTTTATTTGAGTTTTTAATCATCAGACATATGACACATAGCAAGCATTAAGAAATAGTTATTGCTTTGGCCCTGGTCAGGTAGTTCAATTGGGAGTATTGTCCTGATACACCAGGGTTGTAGGTTCAATGCCCGGTCAGGGCACATATAATAAGCAACTAATGAATGCATAAATAAGTGGAACAACAACTCCATCTCTCTCTCTCTCTCTCTCTCTCTCTCTCTCTCTCTCTCTCTCTCTCTTCTTTCCTCTCTCACTCTCTCAAGAAGAAAAATTCAACAGTATACAGTGGTTTTAACATTTTTCCACTTTAATAGATTTTTTTAGTCTATTAAACGTAATTCAAAAAGGTAACATTAGGTGCCTTTTTAGAAAATGTGCCACGGTGGGTCTTTAATCTACACTGGAAAATATCCTTAACAGACTTGAAATAACCTTTCAAAATAATAAAGTCCCTCAAAAATCCATTCAACTCAAGAAATCAATAAACCCAATTATAAATAACTTTATAATAATAGTTACTATTTAATTTGAGCCTACAATGTGCCTGGCATTTCACAAATATTGTCTCTAATTCTTGAACAATCCCGTAAGTCAGAAATTATCTTTATTTTATATCCAACTATGACGTGGGGTAGCTGGTGTGCAAATCAGTCCATTCAGTCTGATTTCCAAGCCACCCTTCCTCCTCCTGCAGCATGCTGCCATCTGGAGCAGATAACGCATTCACAGTCCCCAATGCCACCTCCTACCAACCGTACTATATAGAAAGACATTAAGGAACAATTTCATTCAGAAAAAAAAGAAGTGAAAACTCACATTGGTATTAATAAAAATGTTATATTTTTGCCTGTACTACTTCCCAAGTGATTTATTATTTAAACTCTAGTAAGGTAGAATAAGGATTTTATTCTCAAATGCAAATTTATTGTACAGATGGCAGAATATCAGTAATGAGGTCAGCCACCAGAACAATAAATTTGCATTTTGCTTTCACAATATTGGCAAGTCCATTGCATTCATTTTTCCATGTGCTTTCTCATCTTGTAATCATAGCATCTATATTCATATATACGTTCATTTGTCTGTATATGAAAGACAAATGTTCATATTTCTATTTCCCTTATGATTCTGTCTATAAGGTAATTGTTTTTGATATTTCTGTCTTTCCTTCGAAAGCATAATTCTTTTGAGGGAAAGTTCTATGTTTTTATTCATCTTTATATCCCATTAGTAAAGAATATAAACAGTAGTGCATAAAAACATTAATATTTATGGATTTATTTACTATCATCTGCCCCTTTTTCAGTAAAAATAATTCTAATATTTGAAACAGTAGGTGATAATTCGTATTTCCCATTGACTCTATACATTCTGCAGGTAGCTGTAATTAATAGAGATGTTACAGAGTGGGATCAACTTTGGGTTGATTTTCTACTCTATTAGAAATAGTTTAGTTACTAAAATATGGTTTCCTTTATTGTAACAATGTAAAAGGTTAGACTAAGTAGATTTTCTAACCATCCAAACTATTCTAAGTGTGAATTTCATATCCCAAAACTATTTCATGTCTTAAAATTTCCACCATTTTTACAAAGCTATTAATAAGCTAAGAATAAAATTTCAACTTTACACAGATAGACACAATTCTGTTGGAATTGATTTTCAAACCTAATTATAAGTAACTAAAGGATAAGCAATATCTAAACACAAAGAAATACTTGTGAAAGATTTAATCAAAGCATTTCCATCTCAGGTTGCCAGAGAGAAATGTAAACTCATATTATCTAAAATACAGATATTCTAAATATTATACCATTTTATATTTCAGAAATTAGTGAAAACATAGTATACAATCTGCCAAGTATGTAAAGATTTTAAAAAATTATTCAAACATCCGCATTTTTAAGAAATCAACCAGACACATCTGACATGTGACTAGGTGCTGGGGGCGCTGAGGGAGGTGACAGATGATGGTAATGTTTCCTGACAGGTATTGCCACATTTACCAAAACTTCAAAACATCATAAAACAAATTACTCATTTTTAAAAGACAGTTGCCTAACTAAAAACAGCATATCTTTTAGTATCAATCCAATCTACTCTGGGTTTCTATTATTTAAAACAATTTTCCCATGCAGTGGTTTATTGTTAAAAATGATACTAGGCAACGCTAGCATTTACCTTCTTGCGTTCAGAGTTGCTGCTAACAGCTGGCCAGGTAAGTTTCAATCTGTACCCTGTCAGGAATGGAAATATATGAACTTGGCCCCTCCCATAGTGGCACCTTCCCAACTGCCTTTTGGAAGTCAGAGTCAAATTATTATTGATTGATTAAAGGTCCTGGGGGCAGGGGGGCGCGAGGGGATTGGCAAGGAGGATTGTATGGCAAATATATTTTTAAACAAATACGCTCTATGCTTTCAACTAAATTAAATATTTAACTTACTATATTTATATATTCTTTGCTCTTTATGGAGCCCTCATAATAACATTGAGCCATACCCTTCAACCCAATTCCCCATACTAGATAAATAGAGAAGCATAGGATTGTTTTGTTTTACTTCATATGCCCATTGTCTTGGACATTCTCTTATACTTGAATTTCTAATTATTCTAAACTTTTTAAAATTAGCTGTAAGCCCATTTCAATAACCTGGGATGTGAGTAGAGATTAGTATTTAATTTATTAACTAGAATAGCTGAATACTAATCACAAAATTAAAATTATTAAGAGAGACAGAGAGGAGGAGGGAGGGAATTTCTGGAAGAAAACTGATTTGCTAGGAGTTAGAAAACTAATCAACTCTGTCCAATACCTCCAGAAAGTCTGTCTACTTTAGCTTTCTTGCTGTGACCTGCTCACCTATTTATTTATCTCCTGAAAGGATTTTTAGAGCCCCAGACACCCCCGAGTCTTCATTTTTTGTTTTTTTTGTTCATTCTGCCTTCCTTTTTCCTTCCCTCTCCCTTCCTACCTTCCTTCCCTCCTCTTTTTCTTTCTTATCAGGCTTCTGATAAAAATTTCATGGAACAATATATTTCACAACTGAAAAAATAAATTTTAAAACTGAGCCAAGTAACTTCTGATGTTCCTTTTAGCTCTAACAATCTATGATCCTGATTTGTTTATGACCATAAACACGGGTTGGTGAATAGGGCACAGAGGTTGTAACTGGAAGAGTAAAAACATTGGGAATCAACATGACTTAGGGACAAAATGAAGATCCTCTCTGGCCTGCTTCCCTTTTTTACCCCGTTTCCTTTTCTAACTTGTCTGACAACCATACAATCTCAGCTCCACCCCCCACAAATAGGATTATGTTAAACATAGGGAAATTCAAAAGAAAACTTTGTAAAGTTTTGCCTTTATGGAGCATGTAAGTTGTTCATATATAGTCTACTATATGTTTACTTATATGGAGAATATAAGCTATTTATGCAGCTAGTGTAGAAATGAAACAAGTAAAATCATTTTTATAAGGTAAGATATCGACCAGCAGAAATTAGTAGATGGGTGTCCAGGAGGGTCTTTCAATTCTCAACAGTAAACATAGAAAATAAATGTGCTGTTAATTTACCTCACTTTCTCATTTGAAAAAAGCTTATGGGGTGTTTGTTTGTTTGTTTGTTTTTTCTATAAACGCCTCCACGAAATTCTAAAAGCCATCATTTCTCGGTTGAGTCTGGTCATTGCTTATGATTTACAAGAGGTTGGGAAAATTTTAACACTTGAATCAATTAACACTTTATTCCACCTGATCGATAACTGCTTCGAGCAGTTACCATGCATCACCACCTTTCAGAAAGGGTACTATGTACACTTAGAACAGGATAAACTTTCCCCTGGCTTCCTGGGTTTCTGTCTGTCATGTTTGTTCATTGTTGGCTGGTGATATTCACATTGCCTTGGGCTTTTGGGTGCCTGAGCAGATCCAAAGCTTGTTTGGATATCTTTAATCCAGGATTGCATCTGTTTAGCCTGTCAAGTAATTCACCAAGGATATGACAAGGCATGGCTGTGCCTTACAAGCCTACAACTCTCGTGTGGTGTGGTTGTTCAATCAGTGATGATGAAATCCACCACCAAGTGTAGGTAAACATTAAAGGAACCTGATAGACCATAAGAGGGCATGAGAATTCATGGAGCACCGCGTACTGTGTGTTGAGCACCATTTGGGACTTTGCATACATAATCTCATCACCTCATCTGAGTGGCTGAAAAAAGTCAAGCTAATATCAGCGACTTAAAGCATCCGAGAATTACAGTAGAGTTGCAAGGAATTCTGAGGGTCGCTAACCTGACAGTGCTCTTCAAGGTTTTTCTGTGTCAACAGGCTGTGAAAATAGGGTTTCATCAAGTGCAGAGTTAGATGACCCCTCCTAGGCATGTTACAACTCACCCTGAGTGAGTTATGAGCCAAACATTTAACCTGTTAGCAACTAGTCTTTTTTCTTGCTGGAATGAAAATTCAGGATATTAGACTGTGATGCAACGTCTTTGCTAGCTGGTGAAGCTAAAGAGTGGGATTAAAATTCTCCTGCGTGGTGAAGGCAGTATTTTTGAGATACTGTAAAGAGGCTCTTTTTCGGTTAGTTTTAAATCACTATAGTGAGGAAACAAAATGTTTGTGGGAAAAATATCCGCAGGGAGACTTTTGATCTATTGATCTTCTAAAGGAGTCAGTTAACCTGATATTTACCATTTTATCCTCCAAATTTAGAAGCCTGGGTAACAATGCATGAAATCCAAGAAAATAAAAAATCCATTAACATAACAAAAAGCAACAATAATAAAGACTAAAGCACAATAAACTTGTTTTAAAACTTGCAATCACCCTTAAGATAGCAATTACCCTTTCCATAAAAGCCCTCAGTTCTCTCAGATCCAAAACTGAAGCCTTCAGGATTAGAAAGGAAGCCAACTGCCTACCCCAGCGTGACTGAGGCACAGGGACCAAGATGGGCATAAGCTAGGAGGTGGCCAAGAACACATTGCAGAAAAAACAGTACACTTGCAATCAGAGGAACCAGACCCTGGTATGAATCTTACTAGCCTGAGATCTGGAGCAAATTCCTCTTGAACTTCAATTTTCTCACCTATTAAAAAAAAGAAATAGTAACATGTGTTTGCATGCTTTAATGTGTAATACAAATATCAGCATTATTATTGCAATTACATTAAATTAGTACTTCATAAACTTTTTTTCACTTCTTAGACAAATCTGTAGACATATACCTATTTCTTCTGTAAGTGTCATCCTTCAAATTGGGGTTCACAAACTATAGCCTGTGGGCCAAATCTAGACCAATGCCTGTTTTTGTAAATAAAGTCTCATTGATACACAGCCATGCCCACTGGCTGTCTATGGCTGCTTTCACTCTACAATGGCAGAGTCCGAGTAGTTGTGAAGAGACCATATGACTGCAGAGCCAAAAAATATTTACTGTCTGGTCTTTTACTGAAAGTTTGCTGATCCTTGCTTTAAATAATAAAACATAATAATTTTTATTTTTAATTTATTTTTCAATTATAGTTGACAGATTATATTAGTTTTATGTGTATAATATAATGATTAGACATTTATATAAATTACAAAGTTATTATCCTGATAGGTCTAGTATCTATCTGACACCATGCACAATTACAATATATTGACTATATTCCCTATGCTGTACATTACATCTCATGAATGTTTTTATAATTGGCAATTTAGATTTCTTAATCCCTTTCATATTTACTGAAAAGTTTGCTTATCCTTGCTTCAAATGATAAAACATAACAATACTTAAAGCCTACGAAGTTTTTACAGCCTTTGATATATAACTTCTCTTTTCATAAAACAAATGTTAAAATACACTTACAAGAAATAGTTTCTTAAATTAAAAATATGCATTTTTTGTTTGATATTAACCCCAGACAAAAGTCTAAGCCTCTTGAGTATTGCAGTAAAATAATAGCCCAGACATTCATTTGATGACTATTGAGCACCTACTGTGTGCCAGGCACTGGTTATACAATGAACAAGAGTGGGATTATCCCTGCATTCATGACACCTAGCATAGTAGGATCTTGCCCAGCATCCAGATATAATAAACGCCTAATATATAACAGGCTCTTCCGCACCCATTATCTCGTCCAGTCCCTCCAACAAGTCAGGAGGGACACATTAGTATCCCAACATGACAAATGAGAAAACTAGGACTCAGACAACTCAGTTGCTCAGTCACGATGCTAGAGAGCATCAGGAGGATCACATCACAGCTCCCAAGAAAAAGACCTGCAACACAGAGAGCTTCATGCCAGCACAACTGGCCCACAAAGGCACCTCGACCAACAGCAGCCTGTCCACCTCCCCACACATACCTGAAAGCCGATGAGGACTGTCCCCAGCTAAGGTCTGTGCTCTGATGAAGTCAATTCAATGTCACGCAGAGAAGGGAACAGCTGAGTCTTATATACTAGTATAGCCTGTGGAAACTGATAAGGATAGATATTGAGCAAGAAATTCAGTGGCTTTTCAAATAATGACCATGAATCGGAAAATTAACCAATAAGATGGAGGAAAAGAGATATATTTATGGTCACTAACTCAAATTTTAAATTAATTGTCTCTATGTCTGGGGTGTCTCTTTTAGACAACCTCTCTTTAGGAGCTATTCCACAGCTGGCTTGTAAAGCAGGTCACAGAGGAGGCCTTTATAAAGGACTGCTAGAAAGGCCAGATTTCCTTTCTCTGATCCTGATTCCCCCTAAACAACTTTCAGCACTGTGAAACCCCATGAGTCATAGTTTGTAAGTGAAATACACAAAACCCAAGAGGAATTCTTTTCAGTGTGTCCCAATCCACTCCCAGCAAATGGATTAAGTGCTCTAGGGTCAGAGCCAAGTGCAAAACACAATGTAGCTGAGAGAGAAGACGGCAGGTATTGCAACCTATTGTCTACGCCTCTATTATCTACTGATCCAATCGGAACTACAACTTCAGGGCTACTAGGACAGTTCGCTCAGTGTCTTCACCAGTAACTACTTTTTCTCCTGGCGTCTCATACAAAACCTAACAAACGAACAAATTATCTCCCCTCTTGCCCTTTCTCCCTGGTTCTTCTCTTTATCTCTGACTTCTCATCTCCTCATTTCCTATCATGTAGTACCACCCCACTCATTTCCCCGTGTCTTCTCTTTCTCTTTCTCTCTCTCTCTCAAA